AAGATCACATTGGATTCCGTTCTTTTCAGCTAGGAACAGGAAGATCGGACTATATAGAGAATAGGAGAGTGGAAAAACCTTACCTAGTTTTATGAATCTCAGTTTACTCTGTTACATGCCAGTGGTTGGGTCATAATATTGCTTAAACTAGATGATAGCATAGATTCGTGATTCATTTTGACAAAAGTCCTAGCAAAGGTTACAGTGATTAGACACCTAATACACCAGTTTATCATCATTTTAAAAATACTATGTACGTTATTTTTGACCATCTTCATGAATACAACAATTTTACTTTTAAGTGGGTGTTATTTTTGAAGGTTCGTGAGCAAAGTCACAAAATATGGATCATCTCAAACTAGTCCCATAAACATAACAGTGACTCCAATTTACGTGTATGGTCTGCAAACCTGCCGTAGGTAAATTCAGTTGAGTAGCTTTTTATACTTGAAATGCTCATGCAGACTGCATTGTTTTTTAGTGATATTTCCACTAGATAAAAATCAAAAATATTTGTTTTATATAGGTGTGAATATTGCTGCTTCTGCCACCACTACTTCAGTAGATGTACTGAAAGATCCGTTGTGAAGGGCAGACCTTTTTTCACCTTACATATACGTAAGACCCATTTTTTTCTCTTACAGATATACAAGAGTACGCCAGTGATACGTTGTCTGTGCTAAAGAAACACTGCATGATACTCAACCAGTGTAACAAGCGTTTTTGATATGTTTGTCCTAATACTAATGCTGCATTTTTCTCCAAATCCAAATCTCTTTAGGTTTGCTAAAATAAAATAAAACAGTTTTGCAGCATTATGCTGGCCCTTTAGCCACACACTCACCTTTTCATAAAACATTTTCCTGATTGGAAGTACGCAGTGTATATTCTTATCTCAGCCAATGGGAGAGAGTTTAGAGTGACTTGGACTGCTAAGCTTTTTATAATCATTATTAGAATTGAAAAAGGGCCCAAAAACTTTGTAGTGCAACAATGGTTGGACTAACAGACAAGTATTTATAACAAGATGAGATGAACGCACAGAAACAGAGGGTGTTGAGGGCCCTGTTCAAAGATCTTACATTCTAGAGAAAGTGAGGTAAAGTGGCACAAGAAGTAAGGGTAGGTATGTGAATGTATTTCATGTATAGAAAAAGTAGGTTTTAGAAAAGTTTACAATGAAGGCTTAGTTTAGTTTTTTTTTCTTCTTTTTTTTGAATGATACAGTTGCAGGAGAGGATGCAAGGTGTGTTACTAAGGTGCAGGGAGGGAAAGCTATTGTGACAGAAGTGCTCTTGTCACAGACTTTTGGAAAGACTTGAAAGCCAGACTCCAGTGCACAGACTATGGGCCTGGTCCTAAAGGGGTCTATTGTACTGTGGAGAGGGGTATGAGGGCCTTGGGCTCTTATGGAAAATGAAGGGGTTCATTATAGTAATAACAATATTGATGTGGAATTATTTTTATTATTATTACTTAGAAAGTACCAACAGATTCTGCAGTTCTGTACAATGGATGGACAAACTAAGTATTTGCAACAAGATTACTTGGATGCACTGGAACAGAGGGTGCTGAGGGTCCTTTTCAAACAAGCTCACATTGTAGAGCGAGTGGAGTAACACAGTAGGTAAGGGTAGGATGTATTTCATGTATGGGAAAAGTAGGTTACTAGAATAGTTCACAATGAAGGGTTAGTTTTTTTATGATATTGTTGTAGGAGAGGAAACAGGGTGGGTTAACAAGGTGTAGGCAGGGGAAGCTATTAACAGTTTAATTAATATGCTTTCTTAAAGAAGTGAGTTTTTAATGATCTTTTGAAGGAACTGAGATTGGGTAAGAGTATAATGAAGCAGGGAAAGCAGTTCAATAGGAATGGTGCAGTCCTAGATAAGTTTTGAAGGTGGGCATCAGAGGTGCGAGTACGAACAGAGGATAGAAGCAGATATTCGTCAGAGCTTAGGGGCCAAGTCTTGAAGGTGGGCGTCAGAGGTAGAGGCCAGGACAGGACATACTTGTGTATTAGGGAGGATAGGAGGATAGGTATGGGCAGCATTATGTAGATATTTTTAAGCAAGTACCAGAATGTTAAATTGAGCCCTCAATCTTACAGGAAGCTAGTGTAAGGACTGAAAGAGAGGGGAAGCAAGGGAGGTGTGGGTGAACAGGAGGATGAGCTTTACCACCACATTATAAACTATAATGGGGCAAGCTGAAAATGCATAGGACCAAGGAGAAATGGATTGCAGTAGTCAAGGTGAGAGGATATCGGCATGGACCAGCACCTTACCTGCATCCTGCATTAAATAGGGGCATATGGGCACTATATTTTTTAGATGAAAGCAGCAGGACTTTGCGATTGACTGGACATGATGAGTGAAAGAAGGGTTGGAGACAAACAGAACACCTAGGCTGCAAGCCTGTGAAGTAGGGTTGATGGTAGTACCATTGAGTTGGAGGGAGACAGGCATGTGAATAGTAACGCTTGAGTGAATAAATTCGGTTTTGGGCAGATTAAATTTAAGAAAGTAAGCAGCCATCCAGTTAAAAATAGTCGAGGTGCAGTCAGAGACTGACATGACTTCAGCTCATGACTAATCAGCCTTTTTTATTTATTCTTTTTGTAATGTTCCAAACAAATTTCAGAGTACATCACTGGAGGTAAATAATATGTTGCAGCAACAAAGAGTGCTATGTACTACCAAATGTCCATGGCCATATCCAACTTGACTATAATCAAGTGAGTCAAGCAGTCATATGAACTAGTGTCCTAGGTCCTGAACTGAATTTCATTTTTGGAAAAAATGCACAATAACACAAAAATAAAATTCAGCGCAGGAGCAAGAAGATATTAGCCCACAAGCAGCTCAAACACCAATACTCTCTTTTCTGATCAGAAAACTGGATAAAAACAGGGTGGTAGGTGCAGCACTTCAGTAATCCTTGACAAGGTATATGTGGAGAGAACAAGAGAAGAAATAATAGTGTAGTATTTTAAAACTGTAGTTGTGATAGGTAAGATAAAAGATGTGCACTAACACTTTTCTGGAGCTTCAATACCTATATCAAATTATAGGTGTAGTAGGGGGTATCCTCATAAAAAATAAATAAATAAAAACCATATATAGTGAAGTATGTAGAGCTATGGAGCAAGGGTAGGTAAAAACTATAAAATGTACACTCACGTGTAATGGAGCCGTAAAACCTGGAAAAAATGGTCTAGCCAAACCAAATTATTCGCGCTGAGCACACATCTACTAGATACATCTAAGTTATTTTAATAATGAGTAAAAGGTTCCCATTATATTAAAATATGTTTATGATAATGTTTCTCTAGGGACCATTTAAATTCTTTTAGTTTTCTAATTTGTTTGACAGAATTATGTCAGCCAGCAAGGGATGGAGGTTGAGTCTTCTAATTCAGTGGTATGGCAGAGTTGTCTGAAGTCACTAAATGGGACAATGGGGAGTACCTGTTAATATCTGTCCTTTTCCTTTAGCACAACTTGTAACTATTATTTAGATAATACAAGGACAGTCATTGGCTATGATGTCATAGGCAAGTAAGCAGCTCAGCTCACATTCATCTCTTATTCGCTATGCTACATTGAATGCCTCAAATCAGGAAGACATTTTTTGGCAAGGGAAGGCATAGCTAAAAAGGCAAGAGTATGATGCAGAAAGCTGTGAAACTTATTTTTGTTTAAAGCATATCTACGGAGACTTAAATATGGAAACAGAGCAAGTATAAGGTACCAAAACTTATTAGTTGCTCATAAGTTATTTTAGTGCTCAGAATGTTCCTTTAAAATTTAAAATTGGTATTAGATTCTTGCAATATAGATGTCAGTTCATTCTGGATGCATAAAGGAATTATCACTTGTACTCTACAGTGCATCTAATAAATGTTTATTTTTTATATATATATATATATATATATATATATATATATATATATATATATATATATATATATATATATATATATATATATATATATATATATATATATATCAAGATCCAAATAGATTATGGTGGGGGAAAATTGTGATTGAAAACCCCTTCCACCTGAAGTATGTGGATAGTTAATACAATGCTAAACAAAAATCTGCACACTAGTCAAGCCATAAGACTTGCTTTTCCCACAGAAATCCCAAATCAGCAGTGATGTTACAACCGCAAAGGATTCTGGGTGGGCATATGCAAATTAGTTTAACAAAGAATCAGATTTTTGCCTCATTCCATTTTAAACATGGATTCCTTTTAATTTGTGTTTGCAGTATACAGCTGCTTGGAACACAATTTAGAATAAGATGCAAAACCAGTGAACCACTCATGGACAGCTGTTTCGTTGTTAATGCAACTCTTCAGCATGAGGTTGGTTACTGGTTTGCTAATTGAGGCTTGGTAGTGCTTGGGAAGCAAAATCTAAATAGGTTATGGTGGGGAAAAATTGTGATTGAAAACCCCTTCCACCTGAAGTATGTGAATAGTTAATACAATGCTAAACAAAAATCTGCACACCAGTCAAGCCATAAGACTTGCTTTTCCCACAGAAATCCCAAATCAGCAGTGATGTTACAACCGCAAAGGATTCTGGGTGGGCATATGCAAATTAGTTTAACAAAGAATCAGATTTTTGCCTCATTCCATTTTAAACATGGATTCCTTTTAATTTGTGTTTGCAGTATACAACTGCTTGGAACACAATTTAGGATAAGATGCAAAACCAGTGAACCACTCATGGACAGCTGTTTCGTTGTTAATGCAACTCTTCAGCATGAGGTTGGTTACTGGTTTGCTAATTGAGGTTTGGTAGTGCTTGGGAAGCAAAATCTAAATAGGTTATGGTGGGGAAAAATTGTGATTGAAAACCCCTTCCACCTGAAGTATCTGAACCTATTTAGATTTTGCTTCTCAAGCACTACCAAGCCTCAATTAGCAAACCAGTAACCAACCTCAGATTTTTGTTTAACATTGTATTAACTATCCACAGATTTCAGGTGGAAGGGGTTTTTAATCACAATTTGTCCCCACCATAACCTTTTTGGTTTTATATACCAGACTTCAAGTGGAAGTATATATATGTGTATAAAACCAAAAAGGTTATGGTGGGGATAAAATTGTGATTGAAAACCCCTTCCACCTGAAATCTGTGGATAGTTAATACAATGTTAAACAAAAATCTGCACACCAGCCAAGTATATATATATATATATATATATATATATATATATATATAGATAGATAGATAGATACAGTATCTCACAAAAGTGAGCACAGCCCTCACATTTTTGTAAATATTTTATTATATCTTTTCATGTAACAACATTGAAGAAATTACAATCTGCTTCTATGTAAAGTAGTACGTGTACAGCCTGTAAAACAGTGTAAATTTGCTGTCACCTCAAAATAACTCATCACACTGCCATTAATGTCTAAACCGTTGGCAACAAAAGTGAGTACACCCCAAACTGGGCCCAAAGTGTCAATATTTTGTGTGGCCACCATTATTTTCCAGCACTGCCTTAACCCTCATGGGCATGGAGTTCACCAGAGCTTCACAGGCTGCCACTGGAGTGCTCTTCCACTCCTCCATGATGACATCACAGAGCTGGTGAATGTTAGAGACCTTGTGCTCCCCCACCTTCCATTTGAGGATGTCCCACAGATGTTCAATAGGGTTTAGGTCTGGAGACATGCTTGGCCAGTCCATCACATTTACCTTCAGTTTCTTTAGCAAGGCAGTGGTCATCTTGGAGGTATGGGATCATTATCATGTTGGAATACTGCCCTGTGGCCCAGTCTCTGAAGGGAGTGGATTATGCTCTGCTTCAGTATGTCACAATATATGTTGGCATTCATGGTTTCCTCAATGAACTGTAGCTCCCCAGTGCCAGCACTCATGCAGGCCCAGACCATGACACTCCCACCACCATGCTTGACTGTAGGCAAGACACACTTGTCTTTGTACTCCTCATCTGGTTGCTGCCACACGCTTGACACCATCTGAACCAAACAATTTTATTTTGGTCTCATCAGACCACAGGACATGGTTCCAGTAATCCATGTCCTTAGTCTGCTTGTCTTCAGCAAACTGTTTGCAGGCTTTCTTGTGTATTATCTTTAGAAGAGTCTTCCTTCTGGGACGACAACCATGCAGACTAAATTGATGCAGTGTGTGGCATATGGTCTAAGCACTGACAGGCTGGCCCCCCACCCCATGGATCTCTGCAGCAATGCTGGCAGCATTCATACGTCTATTTCCCAAAGACAACCTCTGGATATGACGCTAAGCACGTGCGCTCAACTTCTTTGGTCGACCATGGCGAGGCCGGTTCTGAGTGGAACCTGTCCTGTAAAACTGCTATGTGGTCTTGCCTGTGCTGCAGTTCAGTTTCAAGGTCTTGGCAATCTTCTTATAGCCTAGGCCATCTTTATGTAGAGCAACAATTGTTTTTTTAGATCCTCGGGGAGTTCTTTGCCATGAGGTGCCATGTTGAACTTCCAGTGAGAGAGTGTGAGAGCGATAACACCAAATTTAACACACCTGCTCCCCATTCACACCTGAGACCTTGTAACACTAACGAGTCACATGACTCCGTGTGGAAATGGTAATTGGGCCCAATTTGGACATTTCCACTTAGGGGTGTACTCACTTTTCTTGCCAACGGTTTAGACATTAATGGCTGTGTGTTGAGTTATTTTGAGGGGACAGCATATTTACACTGTTATATAGGCTGTACACTTACTACTTTACATTGTAGCAGAGTGACATTTCTTCAGTGTTGTCACATGAAAAGATATAATAAAATATTTACAAAAACTTTTGTGAGATACTGTTATAGTCAGAATATATTCTAGGTATTTTAATATATATATATATATGTGTGTGTAATATATATATATATATTAAAATACCTAGAATATATTCTGATTGCTAGGTATATTTTTTCTGAAAAAAAAAAAAGAAGCTACCATAAAAAAAACAAAAAAAAAAACAATATTAAGTCTAATTCAGCATTTCAGTTCTACTTTGGGGACTTTTTCCAAAATAAATACTCTGTGGTGTAATAAATCATTTAATCGGTTAGTGTTTTTAGTATAGGCAAGGTGAGTTTACAACAGCCTAAAAACCTAGCTTAGAATTACAGTTATCTACAAAGGTCTGACAAACTTCGATACAAGGGGCTACACTGACATTGCTAGATATCCTATGTGTTTTAGAGGGAATTGCAAGACACCTTTTTTCGGCAGTGTGATTTGTTGTTGGACTGTCAGGCTGCTAAATAGTTATCCCAGACGCTTTCATGCTGGTAGTAGGCAATCAACAGTGGGTGGCTTGTAAAGAGAGAATGCAGGCAGGCCTTATTGAACAAGGCATTCCAAAAGAATGTATTAATTAAGAAAAAAACATGAAAGCATTAAAGGAAGGATCGAGGGCCGCTTACAGAACTTTGTATACATTATTTTGTTTTTCTCTTCCACAAATTGAGAGATTAACCGGCAGTCAATTGAAATGGCAGCCTGTATCATACCTTCCCTTGGTCACACAGCATGGATAATAAATGCTGGGACCCAGCCAACCAGCTTTCTTTCTCTCTACCCTTATTGTTCCAGGCCACACATCCGTGAACCTTCAGCGTGTTATGTACTTAACCACGGTCAGGTTGATGTCATTATTTCCTTATTGTTGCCTAGCTCCCTGGGTGCTGGTTCCGTATTCACATGGAGTAGATCTTGTGTGCTCTTTGTAGGTTAACCTTTTAAAAAAGAGATGCTTGACCACCTGCAAATTTAGCCCAGGGCTTTGACATTGCACTAGGCCGATTGGTACGCTTGAAAAAACTCATTAGCTCCTCTTGTGCTGTTTCATCTTTCTTTTTAATTGTGACTCAGCGTTGTAAGATAAATCTTATCTATGCCACAAGCAAGAGCCTGCTAGAGAACAGTTTTTAAGGTCTCACAGTGCACGTTATTGGTATGGTTAGGGTCAAAGTCTGCTTTGTCTAAAGGCAGAAGTATGGTATGTGCCAGTTTATCTTTATCTACTGATCCATCTGTCTTTAGTGCTGCCTAGCAAAACGCAAGCAGCGGGCACTAAAAGTGAGATGTCAAAACTATGGGGGAAAGTGGTTCTCTGCATGAAGCACATGCACATTTACCGTGTACAACAACAATGTATAAAAATTGGTCTACATGCAGTTAGATGAGACTAGAAAACAAGCCTCATCCTTCTCATTTCTCTATGCTCTGATGGGAGAACTACAAAAAAACTCTCTTTAATCCATAACTGACAGAATAAATCTAAGAAAATGTTAATTAACTCCTCTTGACACCAGATGCAGTTAATTTGCTACCTGCCAATCCAGAATGTCTGCTGTGTTATTAGGTAAGGTGATATTTATTGCTATTATTAACACCAGAATTCTAGTATTTTCATTCAGCAGCTGATATTTCTGATTTTATGCTTTATTTACACGTTATGTATTATAAAATTATAAGATGTGACCCAAGATGTGGAAAGTGACATAGATTAATTAGAAAAGAAAGTAAGGGGGGAAAAAATACAAACAGAATGAAGCAAAAATGTCTCATACTTAATTATATTTACTTAAATAAATATTACTGTGGATTATACCTTAATATTTTTGCTTGTACAACATTTCCATGAACACAGGCGATCAAGAAGGAAGTGTTTTCCCAGTTGTAAATAAAGAAAATGGACACTTTAAAATACAACTTTTTTATATTTCCATTACCTACTTAAATTATAATCGGTTCATAATGAAAACATTTTGAATATATTTATTTTATCCATTCTGATACATTTTTGTTTCACATCACTCCATAACTTTGCCTGCCTTTCTTACAGTTAATTACATATGTTCCACAACATTCTTTAATATCTTTTTTTCCCCAATGTAAAATTAAAAACTTGTTAAAAAACCTCTGTGAGTACAAACCAAAGTTAACTTGGAAAATATGTTTTTTATCTATCAAATATTCATATTTGTGTATTGAGGAGACATCTGGATAAAAATGCAGTTATAGTGAATTTTTCTTTTGGTTTTATGTGCTTATATAATTACACTAATACCACGTAACCGCAAGCATATCAAATAACTTGACAAACTGATAACAGGCTGACATGAATTGGATTATTGGATTGTCAACAAACATTGCTGACTGGCAAATTGCCAAGATGTTATCTTCCTTGTATAGTATATATGTGCACGTGTGTGTGTGTGTGTGTGTGTGTGTGTGTGTGTGTGTGTGTGTGTGTGTGTGCATGTATGTACGTCTGTGTGTGACATATGCAGAATTAATAGGACATATTTTGTTCCACAGTGTTTGATCTGTGTCTTAAATGTCCTTTCTTGTAAGTGGTTATTTTGTCTTTGAATAAAATCCTATTAGTATGTTCTTTGATGATCCCATAAAAAGTACAAACTAACATCCTATACCCACTATGATAAATTAGAACATTATTTTAAGAAAGAAAACAAAAAAAAGATTTTTAGGAATTTATGTCTTGGGAATATAAATACTAATATATATTACTTTATATCTGGTATAAGAAAAAATGTGTATTTTTTTATACTGACAATTCGGATATACTTACTATGTATTAAAGATGTTTTTTTTTCATCCGTAGAACAATGAAGTTTAAACTATTTAGTAACTCCCTTACAGTTTAATAGTTTCCTATGAATAGGAGGGTTTTGTTCCCCCTTTAAATTCTGTTTTTGTAGTAATGCAAGAAACCAGCCAGTGTATTTATCCAGCTGCTAGCAATTTGACTGTAAATGTTTATCATTGTATTTTGCAATATAACACAACCCATATTTTGGCTTGTGCATCATTTAATGGCTTGTGTAAAAATGATAAGCACATCTGTCCTAACAAAGGAAAATTCAAGTACAAATCTCATTGATTTTTTTTCAACTGGTGGTAACTATTTATTTATTAGGAGAGTGTTTAGAAAGCCTGGGGTTTATTTAATGCTTCCAACTGAAGAAAAAAAAAAAATATTGTCAAACCTTGCAAATAGCAATCAAAATGACTACTTTGTTTCGTCAGCAAGATCAGATAGAATAGGAACTCTGAAATTATTCATTTCTTCCATCTGTCTAAAAATGCTAT